TTTAATGAAAAAGAAACATTAATGTTATATTTAATTAAAAAAAAAATTAAGATACTATAAATTTACTTTAGGACAACAAAATGCATAGATCGTAACTACTCTGATTCAGGAGAATCACTGCTGACAGAATCTTCTAAATTTATAGTATCTAAATCACAGGTAGATGAAGTATCCTCACATATAAGATATTTCTGTACATCATTTTCTAATATGTTACTTTTTCGCGTTGTTACTGTTCATTTTGTCGGTATGAGGGGTTCGGATGTTAATAGTTACCTCTTTAATAGACCATATGCATATATTATTTTTTCCTTTTCTTGGGTATGAGATTTTATAATAAACTGAAAGATGGACACTTTTTTTATTCGACGTTTCGCTCCAACATAGTGGACTTTTTCAGGCACAAGTGGTGTCTCATTTGACTGGAAGGTTCATCAATATCTAATAAGAACATATTTTTTGAAATACTAATAATTTTGAGTTCTTGTCCTTATGATCAAGCCAAGTATAGCCAGATCGGCATTGCTTATCAATTTTACTCCATCTGAAAAGTATTATAAAATAAAGTTCGTCGCAAGCAGACGCAGGTGAACTATACAAAAATTAAAAGTGTATGAATATGGGAACAAAAATATTCAATAAATACGATATGTTTTGATATGTTTTTTTTAAATGCCTTTTTGAAGTTTGAAAACGTAAAATTTTTATACCCATTTAAGAATCATCTTAAAAAATAAATAAGAACTAAACAATCACGAACTTGTTTAGAAATAAATTTAAAGTACATACCTTGTTTAACAATATCCATAGTGGCTTTCAATTAAGTACATACCCGTTTAACTTCATAATATACAGAACTACTATGAATGTTATTCTTTTCACTGATGAGATAATGATCGCAAAATTTATTTTTAGTGAAAATATTTGCTAACAAAAACGCTGTTTATGAAAAATAATATACAGGATGGTTGAACATTGCTATAAGTATAAAATTATATATTCAGATATTAGTAAATTTTAACTTATTTTTTGATTTTTGTCCATGGGACGAAGCACTGTGCGTCGTCTCGGCGCACTCAGTGATAAGGTGTTCTGGTGTTTCCCCATTTTCCCCACAGAATCTGCATTCGCCGTTGCTTCTCAGCCTACTGAGGTGTTCGTTGAGGAGACAGTGTCCTGTTAGAAACCCCGTGACAATCCGAAGATTGTTTTTATTTAAATCAAGGAAAACCTTTGATTTTTGTCGCTCGTAAGTTCTGAGGAACTTTTTCGAGTGTCTTAGACCGTTGGAGGACACCCATTCCAAGTAATGGATGGAGTCTTCTTCCCGATTCTTCAGTTCCGTTTTCAGCTGGTTCCCGTTTGGAAAACAGAAAGATTTTGGTCTAGTTAGTTGAGTATTCGCTCCTTTTCTAGCTAGATCATTTGCTTTTTCATTACCTTCTATCCTTCTATCCCTCTGGGACCATGATATTAGGAAATTAGCGGGGATAACTTGTGCCCGCATAGCCAACAATAGACAACAATGGGCCCAACTACAAAGAAAGTATCTAATATGTGAGGAGACTAGAGGCTACACCATTGGAAATGGACGAATAAGTTGAAAATAATGATGATGAATGGTTAGTATATCTTTTATATATTTCCTGTAGGAAAAATATAATCTGGAGAAAAAATATACCTTGAATCTGAATAAAGTTTGAAATAACATAGGTAACATAGGTCTATACAAATCTCTTTCTTTTAATAGACTTTATCTGGAGGTATAACAAATTGCTTTTTGTTTTATGTTCACTATTTACTACTTTCAAGCAATAAACTTGTGCTGTTTATTTCGACGACAACCTAAGCTGAATCGCGACGCATTTTAAAAGAACACGCGTCGGCGTCGCAACCAATTTACCGTTTCACATGCCTTCGCGATTAACATGCCCGGCATAAATCGGCAAATTATTGCCGAGTTGTGTGCACTTGCAATGTTAAATGGATTATATAAACGCGTTGGCGAGCTCTTTTAATGGGAATGTATGTAAGGAGTTCGCGTAGAGACGTTAAAATGAGTTATGCATGCAGTTATTTTGTTGTGGAAGCAATAATATCACCAAAAATGCAGTTAGAAGCTTTGTTGCCACGAAACAACAAAAAGTTTAAATGAATGTGGATGGTTCAAACTTGCATTCTCTAAAGTTTTACTTATTTTTCTTCAGAGATGTAGAAGATATCTCATAAAAAGCATAATACAAGTTACAAGGTACATCTAAGCAAAGTATTTAAGATATCAGTTACAACATTCTTTTGAAAAAGGTATTTGAAATATTAGATATAAAATGCGTATTTTCTAAAAAAAAGTATTTTATTTTTATTGTTGCGGACCCGTGTGGACTCGACCTAACCTAACTATATGTCCCGCCCAATCCCGCCCCAGATGACCTTAACATCGCATTAAAGAATAGACACCGTAATGATTCATTTGAACGTTCGAGAAGAATCGAGTTCTACTGGAATGGAGTAGTACATACGAGAACATTCGAAACCTTCTCTATGCACCTAATGATTTATGGATTATTCGAGAAACTCTTTAGCTGTGGGTAATAAAATCCGACGGCCGGGGCCTGAGGAGGACAGAAATAAATACACGAGTACAGTTGACGCGCTAAATTCAAAATAAATTCTTTCTAGATAAATAGTTATAAATCGTTTGTAAATAGTTCTTTAAGTATTTTATCGTTATTGTTTTTATTAATTAGTGTTAAATAAATTGTGTTTAAATAAATTGTGACTTTCTATCCACACGGAACCCACGAAAAACGTAACATTATTAAAGTAAAATATTTTATAAAAGAAAATATTTATTTAGCTTGCAACAGAGGAATCAGAGTTTTCTAAAAACATCTAATAAGATTGGCTTTTTGTCTTTCTATTTACGTATTCCTCATTGTTGTTTAAGGTGTCCATTTTTTTTCTTTCATAACGATGAATTATTATAGGTTTTTCAGTCAGGACAAGATTTTTGACATGTTCTTTAAATGATTTTGGCAACCATTTCATTTTAAAGAAAGAAATGTGTGCTCTTGTTTAATCCCATTCATTAATACTAGGTAGATACAGAAGAATAAAAATTATGTTATTTTTTAAATCTTTATTTTGTTCTGTTTTAGGTTTAATGTGAATGTTAATAAAAAATGTTAAAGAATAAATACGGATTTTTTATTCATTTATGGATATTTCATCAAAGCTAATACGGATAATATATTTGGTCCATATTATGATTGAAAGGAAAAAATATGCAAAGGTAATAATTACTAAAAGTATTTTAGCAAACTAAGTACTTATAAAATATTAAGATACTAAAAAAATGTTAAAAGGCATTTCTATAGTAATATAATTTCGAATTCATTCTTTCATAGATGGTTATAATTAATCTTGATTAACGTCATATTTTTTCATTTTGTTAAGGTATCACATTTTTCGATAACTATTACCACCTTTTCCGTAGCATTGAACGAAATAAATTTTGTTCTTCATTGACATTTTAAAACAGCAACAAATATAATGTTTTTTCCATAACTGTTAAAATTGGCTTATATCTATCAAAAATAGTAGATAAAATAGTACTTCAACTGCAAGGGTAGATTAAATAATACTTTGACAGCGAGGATAGGTTAAAAACTTTATTTCTTCTCGCACGTTTTTAATTGCTTCCATTTTTGAAAATTTTTGTATTCCTTTTCATAAGTTATTCGGAATTTAAATGGAAGTAGTCTGGATATAGCGTTGTCGCCTCAGCCTGAATATCTGTTGGTAATTTACTCATTTCGTTTTGAGCCATTTCTGGCTCCAATTCAATCAGCAATCCACACGAAAGAGAATTAAAAAATATTGACTCAAAACTGCCAACTAAAGAGACAGCTTTATTAATTTGTCAAATTACATAGAAACCAACGCCAACTCGCTATGGAAAATTTTGAAAAGTATAAACGGCATTAACCATTTAAAACAAGCAAATTTTTTTATGAAAAATGCATTTTTTCATAACGTCTTTAATAAAAAAGTGTTTCCTCTTGTAAAGACAATCCGGGGACATACTGTACAATAATAAAATTCGCTAATAAACTATTTACAATATTTAATAAATGGCAACCAAGAATTTTTCTGTTTCTAACTGGTCAGTATATCTTGGGTATCTTAGTTTTGAACAGTAAAATTATATTGTCTAATTAAATTATTGTCTCAATGCAAATATAACAAAGTGCTATAGTATATTTCCAATAACATCTAGTGCCAAGCAAGGGACCTCGACTTAATTACAAATTATACGAATTTCTAAAATAACAGGATTACATAAGAATTCATAGGAAAACTTGAAATTTTGAATGAAAGTGTTTTATTAAAAGTCCATTTCACTAGTTGGAAAAACTAGCAAAATAAGCGTTCGGCATTTAACGTTTTATGTCAAACTGGCTAGGTATTTTTACACAAATGAAAAAGGAAATTAAAGATAAAGGATTACAGTATATCCGTATTGTAGCACATTTTTAGACAACTTCTTTATTTTTAAGATTTTGATGGTCAAACATCAACAAAATATTCCTTATGTTTGGACTAAATTTTCTCGAAAATAAAAAAATAATTTAAAGTTGCGTTACAATACGGAAATAGATTGAACTTTTGTGATTACAGTGATATATAATTTATATGGTTTTGTAACAAATTGCTCGCTATTTTATGGCAAATGGTGATGCTCTGCAAATCTTAATCAAAGCACGCGTGTTTGGAACTTTGGGTGTGGCTTCACATGACAAGATCGGGCTAAGTAGGCAGATTTCTGAAATAATATATATTTCTTTCGGCCACACACCCGTTTTCCCCGACCCCTGAGAGCGACCCTAACAATACAGCGTAATAGACTCTTAAGACTAAGAGTAATAGCTAGAGTAACACTAGAGTAATAGCTACCTACTTAGATAAAGAAATATAATATAAATAATTATTTCAGTTACCTTTTTTGGGCTTGTCACTGGCAACGTCGCTCAGCCGATCGCTGAGCAGGTCCTGCGTCACAGTGGTCTCCTGCTCGTCGTCCAGGTTATCCTCTGGAGCTCCGATGGATAGTTTATGGCACACTTCGAAGGCCTGGCCCACTGTCCTGACCACCCTTAAAGCTTGACTCTGCAATTAAGGAAAGTTTATTGAGTAACATTACTCAAATGAATTTTGAGATCGAAAAAGTCTGTGTATATCTCAAAAGTTGCTCAACTTCTTTATTTTTTGAGATAAAAAAACGAGGTTTGGTATGAGATGAAGTTAGTGCTGTATGTTCATTGGCGGTGGACAAACAAACAGAAGTATGTTCTAGTGTGCTGTGGACATACTGCTGTTTGTTTGTCATAGCTAGATGAAGAGTTTTTTTGTACTAAAACTTCTCTATTTTTTGAATAATACTACTTAAAATAATGAATGGAACTACGACTGGGGGCTATGTAGTTGGGGCTATGAGTTGGGGATACAGACCGTAGTAGCAGAAAATAAAGAGAAATTTCACGTCTAAAGGACAGTCAACAGTTTTTTTTTCAATTTTTTCAGATATCATCAAAACTAGATTTTTTACATGTACGTGTATCTACTATTTTTATGATTTTTTATCCATTTTTCAAGTATACTAGTTTTTCGGTAAGTTTCTTACAAAACGCGTGGCAGTTTTTCTTTGCCAAACTTCGAAAAAATGGATAAAATGCATCTAGAAAGTCAGCAGTCGTATTCAATTGTGTTTGGTCACTTGTATATGTCACTCTTTCAACGTAAATGACTACAACTTTCGATTTCTAAATGACACCCCCGGTATTTTTTAATTTTATTCGATAGAAAATACGACATACTGAATAGAAAATTTGACTCGAAATACCGAATTATTCGTAAAAAAATGCTTTGCCAAGTATGGTAATGCGCCATTTGAAAAAATTGAGATATGATTAAAAATACAATTCGGGTATTTTTTATCCGGCCAGAATTGGACACGAAAAACATTAGACGATCAAATCTATTTTTCCAAGGCTCCTTGATTAAACATAATTGTTTTTAACACAGCCACATTTAAATTTAAAATACAATTTTTTAAAGCGAAAATGTCAAAAGTTCACATATGATATGTCAATCTATTCAGAGTGTCATTTTCTGTAGAATATAGTAAGAAATACCGACGGTGCCATTTAAAAATCAAAAGTTGTAGTAATTTCTGATGAAATAGGAAGTGGCCGAAAAGAACTGAATACGTCAATCAATCCTAATTTATGTCATATACTAACATACCAAATTTCATTTTTTATCTAAAATGGGTGATCTAGAATCTTTATCTAAAATCTAGGGTGAGCCACTTTTGAGACGCACCCGGTATACTCTACAATGATAACTTTGTCACTTACATCCTAATATAATGCTGTATATGTGAAAATATATGCTTTTAATTCACATAAGTATAAAAAAGAGTTAATATAATTAACATAATACTTGCTAAATTAGTTCCAGAGCTCCGAAATAGTGAATATGAGCTTCAAAATATTTCTAGCCTGGATATAGAGATAAACCCTGGATGTATATTGAAACTATCATGATTCATTCGCTTTTGAACTCCAGCTTTGCGGAAATAGCGCAAACAATGCCGAAAATACGAAAACCGGATGCCGAGTTTAACAGCTTCAAGCTATCAGCAATTCTCGTATTGAATATCTGGAATGGGAAAATTATGCCTAACGCATATTTCCTTTTATTTCTAGAAACTATACCCGTTTCATTATAAATGTATGTAACTGACTTTCAATGAAATTTAGAATAACTTTATATGTGTTTGTAAGACCTGTGTACTCTGAAAAAAATATAAGTAATTTTACAAAAAAAAAATATTATAGTATTTTTAATAATAAACTTGTAAAAATAAGATATTTTTACATAATTTCACAAAAAATGTTACAATTTTTTTTATTACAACAGTTTATTAATAAATAATATTAAAATATATAATAATATTAAATTATTATACAAAACAATATTATTTTCATAATGAGTTTTGTGAGTTTAAAAATTAAATTTAAATCAGAAATACAATCTTATAGTAAAATTGCATCTGTCTAGACATATTCTAGACATATTCACATACTTGTGTAAATTTACAATAATATATTTAGTAAAAAATGATGCCACGTCACGTGACTTCTTGTAAAGCTGATGCGCATTCAGTACCGGGTAAACCGGGGCTACTTCGGACAGCACGGGTAAAATTCAGACAACGGGTCCTTGAAAGAGAAAAAAATTGAGGGGGGTAGCGAAATCATCAAATAAATCAATAGTTTGCGCACATAGCACGCCCACTTATGGCCTCTAAAATTGTGCACAGCGCCTGACCGGCACAGTTATTAGAGAGATATCGGAAAACCGAATAGCTTAATGCAGTATTCAGGGCCATGTAAGTGAAATATTAAAAATGGTTCCAGCAAAAGTTTCCCAATTATGACGGATGATGGCGCTGATCGTCAAAATTTTTGGACAGGGATTTTGCTTACCGACAATACGACGTGAGCTACGACCGGACAGGACCAATCAGAATGAATGATCAGTCTTTCTTGGACATTTGCCGCGGGAGTGTGTGTTAATTTCTGTTGTAATAAGTGTGGTTGTGTTTGCAGTTTGATTTTTGGGTTTTGATATTGTGTTAAAATTAATTTTGAAGTATTGTATCACCTGTTTTTATGTAATAGTACTTTTTTTAGTTCTATGATCTGATATGTTATGATTTGTTAATGTTTGTTTAACAATGTTATACCAAAGAGGTTATACTTAATATACTTATCAATTTGCATAGCCTAACTTTTTTATCAATATACTTTGTAGATTTTCAGATTATTTAATTCCTTTTTGTTTCCGTTTGTAATTTTATTTTTAAGACATATTATGTGATTGTTTCACATAATATGTTTTAAAAATAAAATTGCAAATAGCGAATAAAAATAATTAAAATAAAAAAGTGTATTTTACAATTCCCCCCGGCCCCGCACCCCTTTGGCTAACCTATAATGTCAGCTATGTCGAGAGATGGCGTTACGAAAATGGAACCGATTTATTACAAGGAACTTGGGCTTCTTTTTCGTTAGTATATTCTGTGGCAGTATTTACGCGTACCTTATCATGGTTACGATATGCGCGAGTCAATTTTTAACGCAACACCCGCTAATAACGTTACCGCCTGACGTAAATTGCGGATCAATTACAGCAAGCGCTCTTTCTAAATAACCTCTGATAACGTTTAAAAATTGTTTAAATGGGCACGTGCGGGTATTTAACAACTATATTATTATTTAATTATTACCGAAATTACCCCACCTATAGGGATAACTTCGGACACTTTTTTAAAAAATATATATATACGCTAGAAAAAGAAAAGTTTAACATTTTTTTTAGTTATACATAGGGGAAGGATGTAGTAACCCACACAAAAAATATTGGTTAAATTTGAACACACTTAGGTCAAGAAACTTACAAAAAACCCTCAAAAACTGTCCGAAGTTGCCCCGTTTTACGGTATTCATTGAAAAAGCAGTTAGGACGAAAGACGAAGAACAGTCCAGGAGAAAGTCTCTAAGCGTGGGTGATTAGTGTCTTTATATCTTAATTATGTTTATATGTAGTTTCTGTCTGTAAATATAAAGCCAGTCCTCCTAGAGAAAACAATCTCAATTTATTATAATTATTTTTATTTTAATTTTAGTAATTTTTTTAGGTAAAGAGATATGTTGATATATCAACATATCCCAAGTATTATTTATTCTTTCAGACTGTGTTTCGGAGGACAAATTTAATAGAGTACCGGAGTAGAGGACTCTATACATCCATAGTCTCTAAGTTGATAAGTTGACTGTTTTGATTAAATACCTTTTTCTTGCATGTTTTTTTTTATTCTGTATCTAATGTCAATTTTGTTTCTATTTTGATTAGGCTCAGAATTCCAGTAAGGTTTTTTTAAACAAGAAGAGATGGCAATGAGTATCTTACATACAAAGGTAAGTTCTGTTTTGTGACTTTTTATTAATCTTTTTACGTATTTCACCCCTTCTCGGTGGTGAATGTAAAAAAAATAAAATTGGTAGGTGGGTGGAATAAACACTGTTATTTTTTGTTATTATATTATAAAAAGTTTATTTATTTTTATGTATAAATAAATATGTTTATAAAACATTAAAATTTTTGCTTTTTTTTATAATTTCCTTTATAATAGTAGTATTCTTTCGTTCTGAAAGAAACTGCAAATTTTCACTTAAACTGATTTATTCCCTACACCACGTTCCCTTTACGTGGTATAGGGAATATAAATCAGTTTAAGTGAAAATTTTCAGTTTCAGAATGAAAGAATACTAGTAATAATGGCTAATTTAAATTTCCCGCCAGCCAGAATGTGCGATAATTAATGTCTTACGATACGTTTTATACCTATCTCTTTCTTTTTCATATAAAGCACACATAATAAAGAAAGATAGCAATAAAGACGTATGTCGTGTCATGGTCCTGCTAATTGGTTTCAAAATTGTTATTCTGAGTTGCGCTACGGGAACGCGATCCCACTCTTTACCATGAGATTTGTCAGTCTCTTTTTATTTGTTTGCCTATGGTAGACGTATCTGTTTTAAAAAACTAAAGTGTTTTCGAATAATTGAATTTAAATATTTTAAATAGTTTTTTTCTTTATTCTTTGTACTTTTTTGCTTCCGACGACGGAAAGAGATAAACTTAAGAAACGTTAAGCATTTTTTTGTTCGTTAGGCAAATTTGTATATCTGTAAACCTAATTTCTGAAAAGTAGTTTCCGTTTGGGATTAACGCAGAAGTGTTTACAAAAAACACCTGTTTTATTTTGTAGATTTTCTTGGAAAAAAGGCCTATTTTCTTGGACTATAAGTGCACTGTTTAGATTTACTTAGTAATCCAAAAAGTATATTATTATTTTATTATTATGAAGCCTTTTTTCAGATAACCTTAGTTTATTCAACCTGCATAACACTCTATTATTTTTTCAATCAACTTCTAAACAAAAATAAAATGTTTCAATATGTTTCGAATATTCCACATGATTAATGAGCATCGGCACGGGTCAAATTCCGAAAAATACGCCAGAAAAAAAACGGGAACAATGGTATAAAGTTGACGTTTTCGTATAAATCAATTGGCGTCTGTGTCCAGTGGCGTCACGCGGCTAACGGTACCGCAAGATTAATTAGACTTAATAGCGGGAAAAACATTGTAATGTGTCCGTTTCGCTCGATTTAAATATAATGCAGAGTATTAGAATTGACCGGAGTTCGTTCACATACAGAAAAGGTTCTATTTGTTAGTTAGACCTAACTGTTTAATCCATATCTGTACCCCAGAAAGAAAACTATACAGGGTGCTACAAATTCGGGGTACGAGCACTGGTTTTCCGGAAACCGTAATAGATACACAATTTGCCTTAACCATGTTCATATCTATTACGGTTACCGAAATAGCAATGCTCGTACCTCGAATGTGTAGCACCCTGTATATTTACTAATTTTTCTAAGAAAAAGACATTGAACTAATTAATTATTGCTATGCAATATTAATTTAATAATTAACTTTCAACCTTATTTTAAAACAGAGAATAAATATGTATAGTAAAAAAATCATCGTTTTCTTACCTACCTCCAAATCACGGTCCTCAAAACTAGGAGTCCTATTGACCCCATTCGTTACCACACTCAACCCCAACCCCGCCATACTCTTGATCCCTTTCCCCAACGTAAACTCCCCCTCCCCTTCAGAACTCTTCTTCCCCCCACCACTAATCATAGTTTTTAACCCCCACTTATTGAAACCATGCCCGTTTTTGGTCTTGGTCGCCTGACTCTCATCCTGCCTGTGATTGGTCACCGGCTTCTTCGCCTGAGTCTCTGACTCTGGTTTCTGATTGGTTGTTACATGTTGCGATATTTTCCTATGAATTGTTTCGTCTGGTTTATGATTAATGGTTGATTTCTTTGGTGTTTTCTTGAGGGTGACTGCTTCGGGTTCTTTGAAACTCAGTTTCTTTCTGGGCCTTTCAAGGGCCAGAGCGTCTGCGTCGCTGCGCCTGTTGACGCTCGGGCTGTCAACGCAGACTGTCGCTGGCCTGAGGCGACTGATTGGGATGAAAATTCCTTCTGGGTCTTCATCCAGGTCGTTTTCGTAGGAAGACACCCGGATTTCGATGGGGTACGAGCCTACGGAGGTTTGTCTTTGAAGAGGTGCGTTTTCGGAGCCTAGCAAGACAACGAGAAGGTTTCTTTACGTGTAATTGTTTGGATGGTACAAGAAAACACTGCAATACTGAATGTACAATAACATTAAAATGCATCTTAAAAGATTACATACCATTTATTTTTAATACATTAATGGTGGAAGTGTGTTTTGAATATGCAATCTATATACAATCTGGACATAGGAAATCCGATGTAAATTTTAAAAATGATGAATAAATTCCTTAAAACGAAGCAAATTGTTCATTTTGAATGATTTATACGAATTCGTTTTTGTATTATGTAGTATAACATTCGTCTCCTCATAAAAATAATACGATCCTGATTAAAATAACAAACATGCCACCTTCAAATTCAATGTTTTAATGTCAAATTGACTCTATTGTTGGCAAAAATATTTTTAAAAGAAATCATTTAAAAAAAAAATTAGTGGCATTATGGAGAAAACAGTCTACAAGCTGTAAAGAATTTATTTTCTGTGCATTTTCCAAATATGCCAGATCGAGATCAGTTATTGAATACTGTAAAAGGAAGATTAATATTGATGAGGATCATGGAGAAATAATAAATGAAAATGAATTAAATATTCTGTTACAAGTGGAATATGAAAACAAAGTAAGTACTAGAATACTTGTAGAAATAGTCGAAAAATTGAGTCAATTTGACATTAAAACATTGAATTTGAAGCATAATTCTAAGTCATTTAAATAATTATTCCGAACACCAAGAATTATTGGACGACGAATATTTAGTGTTTAATAAATACATTTTCTTACATTTTAATAATTTAATCTTTTGAAGCAGTTGGTTGCACTTATTTATTTGCAGTTGTTTACTTATCTACGAACTATATTTGATTTTTAAAAGGTTCTCGTATGTCTACAGTTTTGTAACTTTTCATAGAGAATATAACTGAGAATATTTTTGATGATCTCTGTAAAAGAAAACCATAATAGAGATTTGTCATATTGTTAGGAGTCATATTAGTAGATATACTATATAGTATAGAGTAGATTTGTCATATTGTTGTTGAGGTCTTTGATGGCGTCCACCTCAACTTTTACAGATTTCTCTGTAGATTTGTACTTTATTGCAGAATTTTCTGGACCACTGTATATTTTTGTACGCTAATATTATTAATTGCACTCTAATGTAACTCAAACTTGTTATATTTATTGTCATAACAAATATTTAGGTGCAGAAAAACGTCAAGTTAGTCCAGTCGATCAGAGAAAATTCAAGACTATACAGGGTGTTCCAAAGATGCATGAGGAACTTGATAGGGGAATCTATAGCTTTTATTATTGACATTTTGAAAAAAAAATCATGCTTCACAAAAAATTTTGCTTATTCTAAAATGGTTAATCCCGTTTATACTTTCCCCAAATTTCCATACCGTTTTGGAGAAAATTAAAAAAAATATAGGTAGTTGAATTTTTTCTAAACCCTAAAAATCAAAAGAGGTTTTTATGGTAATATAATTTCGTTTTCACTATTCGATAGATTTTTATTTGGTAGAATTTTAATTAACGTCATATTTTTTGCTGTTTTAAAATTTTAAAGAAGCACAAAATTTATTTAGTTCAATGCTACGGAAAGGGTTATCGGAAGAGGGTTATACGTTAAATAGTTATCGGAAAATGCGATACTTAACAGCAGCAAAATATATGACGTTAACCATCTATCAAAGATTAAAATATCAAATTAGATATCAAGATATCAAATTAATTCTCATAGACAAGCCCAAAAAAATGAAGGTAGAAGAAACTAAATACCGTCCAATCTGCCTGATTAACGCAACCGCCAAAGTATACGAAAATTTAATAAAGAATAGATTAATGGAAGAAATACAAAATAAAGGTGGGTTTAACCCTAACCAGTTTGGATTCATAAAAAAAGTCACAACAATAAGTGTAGTTGATCTTGTAACAACGACCGTCAAGGACAAACCCGAAAAATGGCATGCGCTGATACTAGTAGATGTGAGGAATGCATTTAATATGGCAGCATAGCCTATAATATTGTCAAAGTTAGCAAGAAGAAACATCAGCCCATATCTTATAAATATTATAATATATTTTACACAGCGTACTGTAAACTTGGATAAAGACCACCAAGAAGAGGTTGGGGGAGGCGTACCCCAGGGATCGGTTTTGGGTCCTACCCTTTGGAACATCCTTTACGATGGCGTAATAGAAATAAGGGTGCCTCAAGGAGTAAAAATAATCTGGCTGTATTAACCACAGCTGAAACCTCCGAAGGAATGATACGCAAAACCGAAGAGGCTTTACACTATATATACTTGTGGATGAATCAAAACCAGTTGGAAGTTGCGCCAGAGAAAACAACTGCTATTCTTCTAAACCGAAAGACAAAGATAGGTGGTATACAATTTAAAGTCGGTGGGAAGTATGCTAAACCAACTAATAATACAGTAAAATACCTCGGAATAACACTAGATAGAGGGCTAACTTACAGTCAACATGTAAAGGATGCTTGCGGAAAAGCCAACAGAACTGTCAAAGCTATATGTGGACTACTTTAAAAAAAGAAAAGTTCTTGCGGTATCAATGCAAAATTGAGGCACTAAAATTCCAACGGACGAAAAATATATTGCTTTCCACACAGAGAAAAATGGCCCTAAGGATCTGTTCAGCGTATCGTACGATATCAACAAATGCCGTATTGGTTATAGCTGGGCTGATCCCGCTGCATTTAGCAGCTGAGGAAAAGAGAGAGTTATATCTCAAAGCAGAGATTAACGATGAGATGAAAAACCATCAACGACGAGGTACCTATCAAAAATGGCAAGAGGAGTGGGATACATCCGAAAAGGGAAGGTGGACTAGAAAGTTAATACACAACAACGTGGAGGACTGGACAAGTAGGAAACACGGAGACGTGGACTATTCCATTACGCATGGAGTCTTCATGAACTTCTTGCACAGAATAAAGAAAATACCAAATGGCAACTGCATGTACTGCGACGAAATCGACGATGCCGAGCACACCTTGTTCTGTTGTCCGAGATGGGAAAACGGAAGGTCTGCCCTATTGTCGGATGTAGGAATGTTATCTTCGGACCTTCCCCTAGGAGATGCAAGACCTTGTCGTTGGTGGGGAAGCTCCTGGTCAGGTGCTGGGGGGAATCCCCCCTAGCATTTGGCTTGGTCTAAGAAGCATCTCACTCATCGTCTTGTCCCTGACTGTAGTGTCGTGGCCAGGGAATTGCACCAAGACATATAACGATGCCGGGCGGGGCTACGGACAGCCTCAACCTTGAGGCACCGGGGGCACCCCATTGTATTTTACCCCTTACTTCTACATGCGGGGCTCTGTAGAAGTGGACCGACTGTCCCTAGCGACTCATAGGAACACTATGAGATCTGGTAATAATAGTAATAAAAACATCACCGGTGAAGCTGTGGGGAAACCCCTAGCGACACTGGGAACAGTAACAATGAAAGTTCCAAGGGGCCAAACCCAAAGAGAACTACAGGAGAGGTGGCTGACACTTGCGTGAGACCATCCTCCGCAAGTGGCATACAAGCTACCACCTCCTCCAAGGGTCGGGAGCCTACCTCCTACCTCGAAACCCAACAGGCGACACAAGCTACCGTTTCGTCTACCCGGCCTGGGTCGTAGCTCCTCGACTGTGAGGGACACGGGTCTCCGTAGGAAGTCCTGGGACTTATTACTGTATGATGAGTTATAACTCAAGAAAGGGGGACACAATAGATCTCTAAGGTCGCAGAGATTAACCCCCCTCCCACTTATTCTAAATTCTAACTTCGGACACCTTGATTATGAAAATGACCAAAACTAGCGAAAAGTTGAAAAGGCAAGAAATGTGGAAGTATCCTAAAAATAAATAGAATAGAATAGATAAAAAAATAACATAGATAAGATATAAACCCCGAGATCACGTACGAACCCGAGGGGAGAGGAGGAGCTGACTCCTCGGAGGTGGACTTTTTTAGTGGGTAACAATTCGACTCCCACACTGTTTAGAGTTCGTCTCTATGATCGTCTCTCTCGAGATGGTGATGGGAACGAACACCACTCGATTATAAAAGGTTTTTTTACCACCCCCTCGTAATTAACCATTCAAGAACAAGCAAAAACTTTTATGAAGAATGCACTTTACTTAAATGTCAATATTAAAAAAGTTTTTCCTCTTCTAAAAACATACAGTATAAGAAAGAAGTGTTTTTTAAACTGGTGATTTTTGGATGAGTTTGTGTTGTGATAAGTGAGATTAAAGCAAAGAAACTCTCATTTTCCCACAAAGGCGTTTCTTACCGTCAGCATGATAACCATGATGGTTCTTATCCTTCTCCTGCGAATGCTTAAACAAATAATCCAAGGTACACTGAGTCATGCTCTTCGGCAAAGGCCTGTTATTCTGATTCTCGTCGGCTTTCCTGTTCTTCAAAGCATCACTCAACATCAAAAACTTGTTCCTGGCCCTGGTCAGCACGTCCTGATGTTGCTTTTTCTTCATTTCGACTTCAGCCAAGTCCAAACTGGAATGCCTTAGTTTGGACATTTTTAGCTGATTCCTTTTATTATTATTCATTGTTTAATTTAAAAAAAAAATCAGTCACATAACAACGTTATAATCACATGAAAACTATTTTTCCTAGAATTTTTTAGATTGTGATCGTGATAAATTGGAGATTTTTGCCAAAATTTTAATGAGACGCGTAGTGCGATTTATCACTCTACTGTCAGGCTTAAGTAACATTTTTCCCGATGGAGAATGAGCGTAAAAAAACACTAAATAACCGCGGTAAATCGTGTGGCTAATGAGGAAAATGGAAAAAAAGTCGAGAACCTCGGAAAATTCAGGTGGAGAGCGCTCGGGAAAGTCGGAGATCGCGAAAACGCGACGATTGAGACATTGAAACGATCGGAGTCGAGTTGGGAAACAAACGGGATCGGTGTGGATCGTCCGAATCGCGATTTGGTAGGGGAACGTCGATGAAAATAGAACAATTACGTCTTGCAGAGACTGTTTTCAGTCTTCGTTCACCGTTACGTCATCATTATTTGTCAAATATGAATTTTAGCGTGTGTCTGAGATCAGTTCATATTGTTTAGAACAATATTTTTTTTCGGAGAAAAATTTATGATTAATTTAAAAAGATAAAAAGTTCACAAATTAATCATTTCAGTCAAATAACTGTATCTACTCAACGTGATTATTTTTTGTCAATAATGACATGTACTGACTACTTCCGTTCTAAATATCTTAAAAACGGTTGCTCGTAGCAACTTTTACCAAGAGACATTTTTTACGTAAAAAATCACGGAAATGTATATTTTTTCTATCAGTAGTTTTATACAGGTACGGACGAAAAGTTATTACTCTTCAAAACAGTTAAAACACATGTAGGTGGCGCCCCCTACAAATAGGAGTTATATTGACATAAAAATCAAATTTCCCATGTCAAAAAACTTCCAGACACCAATTTTCATCCAAATATCGACGTTGCTTCAGAAATTATTTGGAAAACATCGAAATAAAAATGAAACTTCTAGACACTGTATCTCTGAAACTATGCATTTTAGGACATACATTTATACGAACTTTTTTACTTATTTTTATCTGCAAAATATGCTGCTGAAGTTTCCGGAATACAGTTCGGACCATCCTGTATACTTACGTGGATAAATCAATGCCATAAGTTTAGCATTAAAAAATATGTCTCCAACATCACGACATGCCATTTTCAAACCTTCTTTATTGCACTTACGAAACGTTCAATAGGTTTGTCTCCTCCGACGACCTTACTTTACGCATGCGCATTAAAAGTTGCGCGTATTTCCAAAATAATCACAATTTTATACGGTTTAGAAACTACAAATTATACATTGTTATATGGAAACCAACTTTTCATTGTCATCATATTGTCATAATCTTGTAATAATCATGTCATAATCTTATTTTCATTGTGTAACGACGCTTGTTCTTTGCGTTTTTTTCTCTAAAACACGCTTTTAGATGTATCAAATTCAATGAGATTAATATTATCTCTACATATATGTTTTGGCTTTTTAGGCCTTTTTCAAGAGTGTCTTAAAAGTTTTCTTCTGCAATTTTAAGAAACTAGACTTATATTAGACTAACATAAGCATGGACTGCATCTTGACAGAAATTGAAAAACATAAAACATGCACATGTATTATAAAGGGTATTGAGTAGCAAAATGAAAAGTCCAGCTCCATTTTTAAATTAAGCAAGTCGCAGATAGGTCCTCAAATCCGAAACGTCGCATTGAAAAATTAACCTTACTGTTTTGTAAAGTAGGAAAACAACCACCATTGTCTCTCATTTCCATTTATCTCTCATTACATTTATTCCAAAAAAAATTAGAACCTTAAACCCTTATTTCTTTTCCTTATAGAAAAAAATCAGTGTACCAATTACAAATGGGGTTCTAAAAATACCGTTTCAATTACCTAAACGCTCCGGTTTCCCCTATTGTTGAGTCTAATTATAGTTTATGCGGAGTGCGCCCGTGCAAAGATCTAACGTTTGTTTACGAAATTAATCTTTATCAAAATATTTTGGCGAAATTAAGAGATTTTAAACTTTTTTATTATTTCGGTACTAAAAATCGGTGATTTCTATCTTAGACCTTGAAGGGATTTTTGGTATTAATTATTATAAAAAAATAAAACTAACATCACCATCATTTGCAGCATATTCAACCATTTCCAATTATGGTGTAGCCTCCTGTCCCAAAATGTACCGTTTGTGTCCGGAAAGGGTCCATAGTTTCATAGTTGTCGATTTCCGAAAGAAATCAGCACATGTATTCTATTTCCTATGTTTTTCATTTTATTGATTTTATGGAAAGCACTGTTCATTAAAATGTTGTATCCTATGTTATAGGGCTTGTTTCTCTCTACAATTTCCTGTCTCATAATGTACCGTTTGTGTCCGGGAAGGGTTCATGGTTTCATAACTGTCGATTTTCGAAAGAAATCAGTAAATGTATATTATTTCGTATATTTTTCATTTTATTCATTTTATGGAAAGAACTGTTCATTAAAATGTTGTATCCTATGTTATAGGGCTTGTTTCTCTCTACAATTTCCTGTCTCACAATGTACCGTTTTGGGAAGGGTTCATGGTTTCATAGTTGGCGATTTTCGAAAGAAATCAATACAGTTATATTATTTCGTATATTTTTCATTTTATTCATTTTATGGAAAGCACTGTTCATTAAAATGTTGTAATCTATGTTATAGGGCTTGTTTCTCTCTACAATTTCCTGTCTCACAATGTACCGTTTGTGTCCGGGAAGGGTTCATGGTTTCATAACTGTCGATTTTCGAAAGAAATCAGTAAATGTATATTATTTCGTATATTTTTCATTTTATTCATTTTATGGAAAGAACTGTTCATTAAAATGTTGTATCCTATGTTATAGGGCTTGTTTCTCTCTACAATTTCCTGTCTCACAATGTACCGTTTTGGGAAGGGTTCATGGTTTCATAGTTGGCGATTTTCGAAAGAAATCAATACAGTTATATTATTTCGTATATTTTTCATTTTATTCATTTTATGGAAAGCACTGTTCATTAAAATGTTGTAATCTATGTTATAGGGCTTGTTTCTCTCTACAATTTCCTGTCTCACAATGTACCGTTTGTGTCCGGGAAGGGTTCATGGTTTCATAGTTGTCGATTTTCGAAAGAAATCAGTACATGCATATTATTTCGTATATTTTTCATTTTATGGAAAGCACTGTTCATTAAAATGTTGTAATCTATGTTATAGGGCTTGTTTCTCTCTACAATTTCCTGTCTCACAATGTACCGTTTGTGTCCGGGAAGGGTTCATGGTTTCACAGTTGTCGATTTTCGAAAGAAATCAGTACATTTATATTATTTCGTATATTTTTCATTTTATTCATTTTATGGAAAGCACTGTTCATTAAAATGTTGTAATCTATGTTATAGGGCTTGTTTCTCTCTACAATTTCCTGTCTCACAATGTACCGTTTGTGTCTGGAAAAGGTTCATAGTTTCATAGTTGTCGATTATCGCAAGAAATCAATACATTTATATTATTTTTCTGGTAGTAGAGATCCCGAGCTGTGTATTAATTGTCCCAAATATACATATATTATATTCTTCTACTATTTCCAGTGTTTATTAGAATATTTACTAATTCGTGGTACATTACTATTGTTTTTGCTAAATTCATTTCGAGATCTAATTTATTGCTGGTTGGGTAATAAAGCGCCTTTCGCGCGAATTCGTCATACATTCGAGTCCGTGTCCATTAAAATGGAAGAAATATTAAAAAACTTCTTCTAATTCCATCTAAAAATGAATCCATTTAGGATTCCAAAAGGAATATAAAAATACCTTCAGTGGTTGGGACAGAAAAATACTGCAGCAGTAGCAGTGAACGTCGATGAAATTGATCTCTTGTAAACTTATTATATGTGACATTAATGGTGTAAATAAATTACTAGACTAGTTAAATGGGAGTCATTTTTATTTTATATTATTTATACACTATAATATTACAAAGAATTCATTATACTGGTGAACTGAGACTAATAATTCTAAAACGAACTAACGCATTTCTAGGAATTGCATTAAAACAATTAGACTTAATTTCATCCGTGTACCATTAAATGAGTCCGCGAAATAAACGAATAAATAATTAGCAGTAATTATAAACATAATCTCTGAGAAAATATCTGTTCATTGAAAGGCTTAGGAGTTAATCACCTGTTGAAAATTCCGTTTGATCTGCCGTAATTGAAGTTGTAGCTAACTCTTTACGAACTAATACTAATAACATCTAATTCTAGATCAATATCAAGCGGTATTAAGACATAATTGTATGGTAGTGTAAGTGGAATAGCAAATAGCAAGCGAATACATGGAATAATATACATATAGTACCTCTAACATTTGAATTGGAACTAGTGGAACTAGTATTTCAGAGAATGTTGTTTTTAGAGCTTAGTAGATATATTTTCATTGCAGAATAGGTATATGCATATATAAGCAAAAAACTTGGATATAGTAGAAGAAATATAAAGAAATAGCAAAAAAGATATCAGAAAATAAATAAGCCTACTTAATATATAAACTCAGTCTATAATCATCTGCTGGTGATGCTAACTAGTAGTAGGAACTATCGAATGAATACTATCGAAACATTCAATAGTTGCAATTCATTCGAATAATTCGATAGCTAGTAAGAAAACATTCGTCGAAAACTATTCGAATAAAAATTATCGAATAGATGCGTCATCTGCCTTGAAATATTGTATTCTAGTAATTCGGCAGCAAAAACCATTCATTTATAAAATTCATTCATTTATTAAATTCATTTATTCGTCAGGATCGATTTTAATAAAATATAAACTGGATTTTAGTTGTCGTCCGGCGACGTAGGTTTCTTTCCGAGAAACCCGTCAGCGGTCGGTGGCAATGCTATAAAAGGAGCCGGCATCTTTGATTTTTTGCGGAGTCAAATAAAGATAAGGACACATTATTTTTTTTATTGAGGTGCTACTATTTACACAAAAAATATATTATGAAGGGCGCTGTTGCCATATATTCTTATTAGTTGGTATTAGCAAAGAATATTATTCTTTAGCATTAGTTAGTTAGAGATAGTATGTCTATATGTTTTGCATTTTTTTATTAATATTCTGTTGTTACACTGCAATAATACTTTTTATTTTGGATGTAGGAAAATGATTTTTAATCTTTTTAAGCAAAGACTAGTTTAATAAATAATAATAACAGTAATAATTTGTTATACCTATTAACAACAAAATTTACAATCATTTAATAATATAAACATTTTTTTAAGTAGTAGCAAAATATAAACAACAAATAGAAGTCAAAAGTATTTATATTAGATCCTATTTAAA